AAAGGCCAAATTTCGCCGCAGCCTGCTGCGAAGCCGCTGCGCAGCTTGCAGAATCCAAAATCCACCCGATCACAAATCTTCATACGATCGACATGAACTGCCACTTTCTGGCTTTGTAATGTCTTGGGATTGATCATAAAGCACATATATCTAGCTCATTATGTTGAAATCAAGCATACAGTCAGTTTTTCTAACTTCACCTGAGCTGTGAACGGAATAGATACTCGTTTTAATCGCAGCACAATAAGAACGTTCGGTCGAACGGCATGAAACAGCTGCATTGTGGACTGAAAAGGTTGGCCTGCATGGGTTCGAGGCTGACTCGTACTCTCTCTTTTGCTGAAATTTTGAAATGAGATCAAGTTTTTGATCTTCGATGTGTCAGTGCAATCATTATCCTATGATAACCTCATTTGAGCTCTTGACTGAGCGAGAAAAATGAAAGTGTTTTTTTTCAAAAAAAGACTTGTCCTTTTTTCTATGATTTGGCCAAAATGTAAAAGCACAAAAGGACACACAGGCTCGAACACACTACCAGCGCTTATCACCACTTGAATGTCAATAGCCCACGTGTGCCATGTCAACCACTACACTAGGAAGACTATGGGGAAAGACGGGAATGTGCATAATCAATCTCACTGAACTAAAGCTGGGCTCGGCTGTACGGTCAATCTGGTCATGCCAAGCTCTACATTTTTCGTAGATATAGTTTGCATGAGTCTCAAGACATTACAAAGCCAGAAAGCGGCAGTTCATGTCGATCGTATGAAGATTTGTGATCGGGTGGATTTTGGATTCTGCGAGCTGCGCAGCGGCTTCGCAGCAGGCTGCGGCGAAATTTAGCCTTTCTTGTCTTCTCTTGTGCGGTCAACCCGGTCAACCTTTTTAGCAAAGGTAGTACACATGTAAAGATTTGCAATAAAATGAAGTGAATACAGCTCTGTATAGCTCATGTAGATAGCTGCGCATTAGGGTTATCTGCCCTGCCAAGACCCCGGAAATCACGTGGTGGGCGCGGGTTTTGGATTTGGCGCAGGCCCGATCGCAGATTTTGAACTTTCCAAAGGCATGCCGATGTTGGGAGCGCTGATATGTGCCCCTGAGGTGTTGAAATCACCCTAAAAAGCAAAAAAGGTAAAAAAAGATACTCAACAACATCAGAAATAGCATCTTTTGTAAGGGCTCAGGTGTACAGTAGACAAGACCATGTCTTGTCTACTTATGTTTTATGAGTGAGGAAAACTACTTTATTGATTCGATAAGGAAAAGGAAACATAACTAAGTATACACAAACATATTTATACAAAACAACCATATGTAACATCTAACAACATTATTCGTAACTATTCAAATTTGTATTTTGTTATCCTTTCTTCCATAACAACAGAATCTAAAACAATATTTGATAAAAGTATTTCAATTCATTACAATAATAATTTCCGTCCAGGGTCAAAATTTTTCTTATTTTTCTTTAAAATGGTAACACAGCTTGATAACCTGATTCATAACGCTCCCAAGAGATATTTTTCGGAGCTGGAAATTGGGGATATCGATGATGAAAAGTGAGAATAAACAGATCTAAATCTGATGAAATATCAGGTAGTTGAATCCAAGTATCATCTGTTATCGGTCTCCCTGCCCATCTAATCAGATATTCCGGTGCCGCATTCCCTTTCTTTCTATAATCCACAATTGCCGAGACCTGACGCCAATCCCTAATTGGTGTTACCTGCGGAGAAGACACAAGTTCGTGAGTAGCTGCAGGCCGTCCTCCCATAGATGGATTATAATAAGGTGAGATCAAAGAAATGTTAAAAACAGGGTGAAGACGAGAGTATGAACGCCCCAAATTTAATTTCACCGCATTCTTCCCAACCATTTCTTCCACTCAAAACGGCCCAATTCGTCTATAATCCAATTTTCTAGAAGGCCTCGTACTTGTGATGTTCTGTCTAGACAACCAAACCAAGTCACCTTTAGAGTACTCCTGACCCAATCTTTTATGAGAATTATAGTACTTAGCTTGTTGCTCTTTCGCGTGTTTCAGAGAAACCAACAGATTTAATTGAGTTGCCTCCAAGAGTTTGACGAATTGGTCCGCATGAGGTACTTTCAAAAGTTCCGTAAAACTGTTAGCTCTCGGGTGAAAACCTTGCCAAGAAAAAAATGGAGAAAGCTTAGTCGACGAAGAAGGAGTGTTGTTAAAGCAGAACTCTGCCATTGGCAACCATTCACACCAATCCTCCTGTCGATAAGTAATAAAGTGACGTAGATAAGACTCCAAAGCTTGATTGGTTCTTTCCGTCTGACCATTGGTTTGCGGATGAAACGCTGTTGAAGGTGCAGGATGAATCCGCAATTGCATTTGAACCGCCTTCCAAAAGGTCGAGACGAACGTCGCACCCCTATCCGAGACTATTTTGTCAGGGTAGCCATGGTATCTAAAAAACTGAGATATAAAAAGGGAAGCAAGCTGGGGAGCGCTCATCGACTCCTTACATGGTATAAAGTGGGCCCCTTTTGAAAAGTGGTCAGTAATGACTAATATAGAGTCAAAACCTGCTGAAATCGGCAACTTGACGATGAAGTCCATACCAATCATGCTCCATGGCCAATCTGGTATAGCCAAAGGAATCAAGGTTCCCTGCTGAGCCTGGGTCGATCTCTTCACCCGTTGACACGACTCGCAGCTTTTCACAAAATTGATGACGTCTTCCCGAATAGACTTCCATCCAAATGTTCGAGTGATCATACTAAGCATATGTGATATGCCAGGATGTCCCATTGAAGGATCATCATGAAAAGATGAAAGAATTTGTAGTCTCAGAGGTTTGGGTACATATAACCTGTCTCTAAACCACCACAGCCCACCACGAAAAGAAAATAAAGGAGGTGGCTTAACAAACTCCGAAACACCGTCATAAGATTTGGTGAGAAGTTCCCTCGTCTCATTGGACGGAATAGAAAACGTGGTGTCTATAGAACACACAGTGACCCCCTCTTTAATCATATATGGTTTGAGGAGGGTCATCCTGGAAGACTCCGAAGAAAAATCTTCATAGTCCGGTCGCCGAGAGAGAGGATCCGCGGGATTAATTTTACCCGGTGTATGAAGAATCTGAAAATTAAACTGAGTCAAATAAGATGCCCATCTTGCTTGTCGAGGTGAAATCTTCTGTGAAGTCATGAAATATCGAAGGTTTGCGTGATCCGAAAAGACAGTAACCGGTTGTTCAGTCCCAGTCAACCACGCGCGCCACTCCCCAAAAGACTCAACAATCACTCCAAGCTCCTGGTCATGCACTTGCCAGTTTCGCTCAGAAGGAGTCAGTTTTCGAGAAAAGAAGGATACCGGAAGCAAATTGCCTTCAGAATCTGGTTGGGAAAGAATAGCAGCCATAGCAAAGCCCGAGCAGTCCACCTGTAATGCCCTAGGTCTATCAAAATCAAAATGAGAGAGAAGGGGAGCAGTAGTAAAAGCTTTCAATAAATGATGAAACGCAGAAATACACTCAGACGATGTTAAGCCATCCACGACATTAACTCCTTTCCGTGTCAACACTGTCAACGGAGCAGATATAGAAGAGAAATGATAAATGAAACGCCTATAAAAATTGGTAAAGCCTAAAAAACAATAGAGCTGCTTGGAATTAGTGGGATAAGGCCAGTCAGTTATTGTGCTCAGTTTCTTAGGGTCCATTTTTAATCCTTCAACTGAAATAACAAAACCTAAAAAGGTTACTTCTGTTGCATAGAAGAGACACTTATCAGGAGAAACAACCAAATTGGAATCTTGAAGACATTGCAAAACTTGAGAAACATGGAGTGTATGATCTTCATAAGTCTTGGAAAAAATTAGGATGTCATCGATGTAAACAAAGCATGATACACCCAAGAACTCAGATAAAACAGACTGAATAAACCGTTGAAAACAAGCTGGGCCATTTGCAAGACCAAAAGGCATAACCATACACTCATACAACCCCCACGGCGTCCTAAAAGCCGTTTTCCATTCATCCCCTTCTTTGATACGTATAAAATTGAAAGCTGATTTAAGGTCGAGTTTAGTGAAATATCTACAACCGGTGATCCTTGTTAATAGATCCCCCATAAGCGGAATGGGAAAACTATCTCGAACAGTGATCAAATTTAAAGACCAATAATCGACACAAGGTCGATTCTTCTTTCCAGGAACCTTGACAAAAAAAATAGGTGACGCCGCCGAAGAAGAGGAAGGTCGGATATTGCCCTGTGCCAATTGCTCATCGATGTAAGTCTTCAGTTCAACCTGTTCTTGGCTTCCCAACAGATAAGACCCACCAAATGTCGGCACCGCCCCCGGCTTCAGATTAATGGCCATGTCAAACCCTTCTCGATGGGGTGGTAACAGAGATGCCGCCTGTTTTTTGAAAACATTAGCGAATTTCTCAAACTGAGGCGGAATGACAAAAGGTGGAGGTGAAAGAGTAGAAGGAGTGGAAGATAAAGTCGCCGAAGAGTTCTGAAATCGATTTTTCACAGGAGAAGTCGAGGAAAAAATAGGTGAAAAAGGGAGTGGTGGACATTTACCAAGCACTTCTTTTCCCATCACATCGATAGGTTTATCCAGACGTAGCGAAGGAATCGTACCACCAACCCATCCATCATGGATTCGCAACCAATCCAAGCCTAAAATGACGTCATAACCGCCTAGCGTCGTTACGTTGAGCAAAACATTGGACTTGAACGCATGTTCTTCATGTAAACCTTGCAAAAAAAGATGACCATCCCATTCACAAGTAACCAATCCATCTTTACTGCTTGCACCATCAAAAGTCACACAGGAGATAGGAATTGGCCGGGGCTTCGTCTTCAGATGATGTCGGAGAACAAATCCTCGGTCCAAGAAACTACGGGAAGCGCCTGAGTCAATCAAAGCTCTAGCTGGATAGAACTTAGTGCCACAGCTTAACAACACTGATAAAATAAGACGTGAATCAACTCCTTCCTCGCCTTTAAAATCAATCGCCGAAACATGCTCTGTCAAATGAACTTCGTTGTCCACATAACCAAACAAAGGTTGAGAAGACAAAAATTCTGAGGCATCATCAGAATCAGGAATATTGAGATTGTGGAATTTGTGAAACATAGCGGATACATCATGAACATGATGTGCAGGCTGACCACTTGAAGAGGCGACGTGCCCTTGTGAAGCAACGTCTGCAGAAGGAGGGAAAGCCGACAGCATACCGCGCAACTGAGGCGGGGCCTGGTCAAAACCGATGTTCGTTCGAGGAAGAGGCTGATGTGACGCTGAAGGATGAAATGAAAGTTGAGAAGTTGAACGAGGAACCCCTAATCGCGGGTTGTTCATAGTCGAACGTTGAACCCTATTCGGAGCAGGAGCTGTCGGTGCTTGAGATGATACCGCCGAGATCGGTTGGGAAGACCTGGGAGCCGCATTCTGGCATTCTAAAACAAAAGCGTCCATCTCTGCCGACGATGCGCCTGGATTAGTACAAGAAAAGGTTCTGCCATCCGGTCCGCGATGTGATCCGTCGAATGCCTTCAAACACCTATAACACCGAGTGTTACGTTGGCACAGTCGTCGATAGAATCCAATGCCACATCGTGTGGGTGTCTCATGAGTCGAAGGTCGAGGATTAGAAGGTGGATTGGCTTGATATGCGTTGACATCTACTTGCATAGCAGTGGGGTCAAAGGGAACAATGACTGCAGGTCGCGGCGGAGGTGGAGGAGGACGACTGGCTGGCCTAGACTGAGAGTTGGACTGATTGGAAAAAGAAGGAACCATCCCCAAATCCGTCACCTGTTTTGAAGCCAGCACAGCCAATGATTGAAGATCCTTAAGAGTGACCACATTAACCCAGTCCGGATGTTGAATCGAACGTCTTAAAATATCAGGATCTAACGCTTTTTGATAGTAATCCCTTAAAATGATATTATCAAGAGTGAGTTGATAAGCTAATGAATCGAACTTGGCGTTAAAGTGTACCAGTGAAAGCCTTCCTTGCTTCAAAGACTGAAGTTCCTTAAGGATCGTCATAGAAGAGTATTTGTCACCAAAGTGATCCGCCATGTGGTTGAAAAAAGCATCCAATGACAAAAGATTCGGAATGATAAAAGGAAGATTAGACGAGTTATGATTAAAAGGGACCTTATGTTCTCTAGAGTTTTCGCGAAGAAGACTGATCCACCACTCTTGAGGTGAGGTGTTCGGCTTAAAATGCCTAGCTACCCATCTGATGCGTCGAGAATCATCCACAAAGCAAGAGTCATTGGAAATAACGGAATCTCTAATAGAAGTGATAAACCAATCGACATGACGCGCTTCACCATCAAAAGAAAGGGTACCAGGAGGTGGTTCAACACGAGATATTTGAAGAGAAGCACGAGAAGCATCCAACTGGTCGTTCAGCTGAGAAACTACATCATCATGAGCTGCCTTCGATTCTTGACGAAGCGTGGCTGTAGTGGCACCAGCCTCCGCACGCATCAAAGATAGCGCATCCGAGATACGATGACCCACACGGTGATCAAAATCACTGATCCGCACACAATCTTGAAACACCCCTGATAACGACGAGAAAGAAGTAGAAAGCTGAGATATCTCGTCTTGAAGAGCAGCGATTTCTCCTCTTAACAGAGTGATAGTATCCAATGAGGAACGGTCAAGACGTTCTTCCAGAGTTGTTTGAAGAGCACAAAGAGTAGGTACTACATAACGATCCGCAAAAGATTGTTCATCCTGCGAGAGCGCAACAGGCCCATCACCTGAAACAGTGGAACGTCGAGATGCCATGACCGTGAGACAAATCAATTGAAGACCAAAATGTCGAAGTATCAATTGAACGAAGAAGCCTTTAAGAATCCATTGAAATAACGACCAAGAGATAAGAGAACGGATTGAAGACGATAAACCACGAATGACGTCACGAAAATACCCCAACGTGGAAAGCTTTTGAGTATAACCAAAAAACCGAGATGATCCACCACATACGCGACCAAATATGAAAACATATAACATCAAAAAACAGGAACCTAGAAAACATAACAAACATGAAACTACACCATATAAAACATAGAAATAATAAAACACAACACGACTGCCTAACCAAAAACGGAAAAAAGTGTATCTATGTCAAAACGTAAAAGCTTAAAAGAAGAAAAATGATAGACCAATAAACCAACATGCGAAAAAAATTCTACAGAGATAATATAACATATACAGATGAAAAAAATAATATGCAATATAAACAAATGTAACGATGATTCACAGAGCACATGGAAAATAAACGAAAAAACCCCAAAGGAAATAACAAAGACTAGGCAAAAGAAAGTCAATAAAAATGAGACTTGCGAAAAAATTGATAATGATTGAATCAAACTGTAAGGGCTCAGGTGTACAGTAGACAAGACCATGTCTTGTCTACTTATGTTTTATGAGTGAGGAAAACTACTTTATTGATTTGATAAGGAAAAGGAAACATAACTAAGTATACACAAACATATTTATACAAAACAACCATATGTAACATCTAACAACATTATTCGTAACTATTCAAATTTGTATTTTGTTATCCTTTCTTCCATAACAACAGAATCTAAAACAATATTTGATAAAAGTATTTCAATCCATTACATCTTTGGTATTTCACAACAGTACTGCTGTACATCTCATCAACAGTCATTCAAGTTCATCATCAAAAAGCACATCCTCATCCCAATCCTTGTTCTCAGACTCCTCATCTAAAACAATGGTGGCTGACAGTGGCTTTGAGATTGGGGATGTGTTTCAAGTTGAGCACTTTGGGGTCTGATTTGAAAAATTTATTGATGCTGAACAAAAATTTTGACCCAAAACCACACTGTAACACTACACAAAATATAATATTTTCTGGGCAGAAAATTAAATTATTGATACACAAAAATATTGAGAGGCCAGGAGAAGGGCAAAAAATAAATAAAAATATGCATCTTGTTCCCTGCGGTGAGAGCTTCACTCTCCATATTTTTCCATATTTTTACAGTCCATATTGATAAGTGTACTAACAATAAACCTTCATAATCATCCAATTACAACCTGTAACAAGCACTGAAATTTGGCTCATTAGTGTTTAGAGAAACTTTTGATTTCTGAAAACACCTATAGCTTTCTCAAATCCGCCTCAAAACACTCAATTTTAAGTGCATTAGAAAGCTGAACTCTTCCTCTCGAACTTTCATAAGATCAAGAACTATGTAGCTAGTATGACAATCATTCTATGGATCTGTATGTACAAATGTATAAAAAAGATGATATCTTTTTTAGCAGACCAGCATGCTGTGTGGTCCCATTATGAACTATTTGGAGGACAATTCCAGCTTACCAATGCACCCAAAATCGAGCGTTTTGGACCGGAATTGAAAAAGTTATGAGTATTTTCAGAAATCAAAAGTTTCTCTAAACACTAATGAGCCAAATTTCAGTGCTTGTTACAGGTTGTAATTGGATGATTGTGAAGGTTTATTGTTAGTACACTTATCAATATGGACTGTAAAAATACGGAAAAATATGCAGAGTGAAGTTCTCAACGCAGGGAACAAGATGCATATTTTTATTCATTTTTTGCTCTCCTCCTGGCCTCTCAATATTTTTGTGTATCAATAATTTAATTTTCTGCCCAGAAAATATTATCTTTCTTGTAGTGTAACCGGGTGGAATCAACCTAAACCTAACATGGGCACGCCACCTAAAAACCAAGCCCAAAAGGCCTGCCCAGGGCCTGCCCCAAAGGTGTGCCCTGGGGGCAGGCCGATTGCACCCCACCCATTATGTGACCCAGAAAGCTCTTATGGAACCATCTACATGGCGTGGGATATGGCAAATAATATTGGTGTGAGACCTTGCAATAGTCCTTGCAAGTGAGACTTTGGCAGGTGAATTCAACACCCTGTTTGTTGCCTTCTGCCAATGCAAGAATAGGATTCAAACATCTGCAGCTTTGGCCAAAGCTGCCACAAGGTGTGCTACAACAATCAAACCGGTTGCCCCTGCAAAGGTCCCAGTCTCCTGCGAGGGCGCCATACTGCTCAAAGAACGCGCCAAAGCCAGCAAGAATGCTTTGAAACTAGCGCGGGAACAGGAGAAAGCAGATAACTTGGTTACCAAACCAGTGGAAAAACAATGGTGTGCACAAGAAAAGCTCAAGGCGCAATCACACTTGAGCAGGTTCTATGTACAGACCAAATACCAAAGTGCTTCAACAGCCACAGACAACACAGTTGCAACAGCTTCCATACCTTGTCAGCTGGACACCAGTGTAACATATGACACCTATTGCTTGCCTCAACCTGCAACTGATGTTCCACCTGCAAAGCGGCTAGTCAATGACGTGCTGCAACCAGGCCCTTCTCATGACAGGGGATATTCTCTGGTAAGCAAATCAATGTGCCAGTGTTTTCTATGTAAGGTAATAGAGAACAAATACCCACCGCAATTGATTTATTACTTCAATTTCTCCAAGGGACTCAATCCTCAAGAGGATTGGCGACCTCATCATTGGAACCCAAAGTTAACACGGCCACCACACCCCATCACAACCAAGAAGATTGACCTGCAGCTCTGTCTGCCTGGACAATCTTGACCATGTTACGCAGGCCTACCCGCCAAACATTGGCAACTGCCTCCTTGCTGAGGGTTGTACTCACTTCACCAAATGTTTGCAACACATAGGTGAGGAAGGTTTCCATTGTTAGAATACATATAGATTATCAAACTCGTCAAACACATTACATCAAAATCATATTTACATACAGTACTCAAACCTAGTTTATATCAAACTTAAACCTAATTTAAATTTGTATCACATTTAAATAGTACCGCTCATCCACAATCGCCACTTTCTCCTCATCAGTTCACTGAGGAACAAAGTGGCGTGTAAGTGGTTTCATAGTCTGTATTCTTTCAATCCGGATAGATCAATTGTTAATCTCTTTCTCCATTTCTCTTCAGACTTTGTTGTTTTCTTTCACCCTTAATAGGTGTGATTCTTTATCTTTGTCTTCGGTGTTCAGAACCGTAAAGACTGACGCCCGTTTACTGGCATCCTAAGGTTAGACACTATTAACTATATGAAATATTATGATCAGTTCACTGAGGAACAAAGTGGCGTACTTTGTTGTTTTCTTTCACCCTTAATAGGTGTGATTCTTTATCTTTGTCTTCGGTGTTCAGAACCGTAAAGACTGACGCCCGTTTACTGGCATCCTAAGGTGTGATTCTTTATCTTTGTCTTCGGTGTTCAGAACCGTAAAGACTGACGCCCGTTTACTGGCATCCTAAGTTACCATTCTGGTGACTCGAGTTTCTTTAGATTCTTGCATGGTAGCGAAGCAGATGTAATGGTGTGGAGGTTAGGCTGGTGAACAATTTTATGCCCTGCTTCCAGCTTGATCAACTGCATTAACCTATGCAACTGGTCACATTGAGGTCATTGAATAAGTTTGTCATACATTTGTTTGTGTGTGGAAAGTGATGCAATGAACAATTGGCGCCCTTACCATTGCAATTAAGTTAGATATCCAATATGTGAGCTGGTGGATGTCCGTTCCACGTCCCTGATGCATGATTGCAAAGTTATAGTAAGCAACTTTGACTGCATTCAGCACAACAGAATTGTGAAGAAACAACTCACAGTTGAATCA